ATTTCATATCACATAAATAATGCCTCTTGGGATTCAAGCATCATTCAGCTTACTCCCCTATGCTGCATAATAAAGATCAATCTATGTTAACAGCAGCTTCAGCTAAATAAATGTGAAAGTATAAATGGCAATTATTAGCAATGAAATAAAGGGCTAAAAATGCTTACATGATTGACTATCAGCTATAGGTGTCAATGAAGAAATTATTTGTAATGTGTGTGGACTTGAACCAATGTTCTAGTCCCCAATTTCCTTAAGTGACATGATTTCTGTTCTCTCTTCTCTGCTTCACTCCTAGAATCTACATTTGTGATATTCAGTAGTACTCACCCCCGAGAAGAATTAAGATAGGGAAATAGCAATCTACATATGTTGGGACCTTCTAAACTTTAAAATTCAGGCTAGAAAATTAGAATGGCAAAATTACACTGACCAATTTCTACCAAATATAGAGATTGTTTTTTAAGTTTAGAGAAGAAAGGAATAGATGAAGTTCAATTCACCAGTTAAATTGAAAAAGTTTAAATGAGAAGGTAATAAACTAGCATTTTTAATTCTTTGCAGCTGCTCAATGGTTTCACTTTAATCTTTTCACCAAGAGTAGATTTCAGCCACAGTTAAATCAATAGGCCCTTTAGAGCACTTCTGAAAATAAAATCTAAGCCAAACAAATTTCACATTTGTGCCAGTAACTGCAAGTATAGTGTGTTTAAGAAAGATACTGAAGGAACACATGCAGAGCTTCAGGAATCACCTTATGGACTGATAGAACGATGAAAAAATTGTAAATCATTAATATTAGTATATTAAATTAAATTATATTTAAGATTAACGAACTTTAAAACACTGCACAATCTAATCCTAACATTTTTATTTCCCAGAAATTTATTTTCACAACTAATAATCAAATTCAATAGTCAAATTTATGGATAAAAACCATTTGCCAGAAAATTCACATCTGTGTAGGTCTCTACTAACTGAGCTTTCAGGTTTGCTGCTCCACTGTGCTGCTTTTCAGTGCCTAAAACTTCCTAACATTTCAAAAATACTATGTGCTTTCATTTTTTTAAATGAGGGATTATTACTTGAAATCTCCAATCAATGTTAAAGTAAACCATATTATATATTAATACATAAAATAATTTATCCTTTGAAAACCTTGATTGAAACTCTGATTTATTTACGTAGTACTTCATGGTGTAAGAAAAGACTGTCAGACATTATGGAGACTTTGTTTTTACTTCTAAGGAAGCCAGAATTAATTTGATATATAGGTCAAGTGTTTGGTGTTACAGTTAGAGGATATGTTTAGCAATCATTCTACTGGCAATTCTGTTGGAGTAAGATCAAGACCCCAAACATTATATATTATAGTGCACAGGAAGAGTGATTACAGAATAATTGTAACTGCTATACTGAGATACTACAGAATATGGCATTTAATATGTTTTACCGGGTAATCAAAATACTATATTCAACATTTCTCTTCCCACACATAACTTTTTTCTGACCTGCCTGTGCTATCAAAATTTCTACAAAATTATTTCTATTTTTTGCAACATAGCGCTCCTTACAAAACTGAGTATTAAAGTCTCTGATAGCTCCCAATTCAGAATTATCCTCTTTTTCAGTATAGTGCACTGTGGAGAGGGTCGTAGAAAAATTCAGTTTACTCTGTTGACTTTGAGTAATTATTTTTTGCTTGTTTGTCTGTTTATTATTTTTGGTACCAGGGATCAAACTCACGACCTCGCATTTGCCAAACAGGCTCTTACACAACTGAGCTAAACCCAAGGCCCCTAAAAAATTTTTTTTTCAATTATATTTGTGGTTCACATACTAGCTTCAATAATAATTGTTAGTTCCTAATGTGTTTGCACTGGATTTAGGGTTAGAATTTTCTTCTCTCATATAAGATAGACCACAATACTAGAAGCTAGTCCTTTTACAAATATATACTTATACAGAGGAACAGAAAGAGATTAAGAAGTGATATTTCATTAAGACCTGCTGCTTTTCTCTTTGAACTGGTATTAGATTTTAGGGACTTTTAAGGCCTAGAGTTTTCAAAGAAATCCAGGCTTGATGATAACCTTCTTTTCTTCAAAAGGCATCCAAATAATAGAAAAACTAGACTAAAGGTGTGTGACTTTATTTAAACAATGCTAAATGTACAAATATTAAATTTATATAACATGCATACAATATATAAATACACACTCATATATCTAGACGAGGGAAACAGACAGACAGACACAGTTTATGCGTGCTAACCTAGTGCTAATTCTTTCCAGTAGCATACAGAAGAAACCAATGAGTACAAGTCAAAGGATGTAAGATTGAATCCCCTTTCTGCCAATAATCAGATAATAGAACTCGGGCAAGTCATTGACTTAGTCTTTTGAGTGCCTTTACTATAATATCAGAACATTGAAAGGAGGAAGTCTATGTGAGATGTTTGTACAATACATTGTGTTTACATGGTGTGTATCATTTTTAAACATTCTATATTAATAGCTTCCTTATAACAATGGATAATTACTATTGACTCTCAGTTATAAAGAACTGTTTTCACAGCATACACATAAGACCTGTCCTGTTAGCCATTTTATAACACTGAAACCAGCAACCATGATTTAAGTTTTTGTCTAGAGTGAAACCCATCTGCTATAAACAATAAAAGCCAAGTAAATGTGTGCTAATGATTGTACCACAAGTCCTGTAGGAACATTCTCCTTACCCCATTCCACATTATTTCCCTGATGGCTGAGAGCCATAGCAGTCATGCCACAAGTTTGATGATGGTGGAATGCATCTTTGCTTTGAGAGTGTGTAAATTCCCCTCAGGGGTATCATATGTTTATTAATGTGTCACAAGTTGCTTGCTTCCTGTTAGCTTTTCTCAGTAAACAGGGCTATAACCTTGGCTGGATGTTACTTTATTTTTAGCATTTAAAATCACCTCCTGATGAACAGAAACAGTAAACAAGTATTAAAACATCAAAAGTAATTTGAAAACAGTGCTATCCTGGGGAGTCTGGAATTCCAGACATTACCAGACAGTTGTAAATCAGCAGTCACCTCACAGAGTTAAGGAATGAAAGTCAGAAACAGAAGAATGACTAGGGGTGTTCAAATGCAGCCACTTTCTGAAGATTAGGGGTCAGGTGTATTAATTTAAAAAAAAAAAAAACAGGTAGTAGGTGAGGTGAGAAATCCTATTTCGCTTTAACTTTAGGCATTCTTATCCCACACACACAGACAGCCCAAATGAAAAATATAAGGACTTCTCTGGGTGATATGTTTCACACTAATTACATACCACAGAACTAAAGACCGTGGTTATATTTGCTATGCTGCTTGCTAAACAAACACTGTGTTGCTGTACTATGAAACTGAAATACAAAGAAAAGGAGAATCAAAGCCCAAGATGCTGAAAACAAGATCTAACACTGACTGTAAGATAGACACTGCAATAACGTCTTCATGCTTTAACATGTTTCTTTCCCACGACAGTCTATGGCGGTCTTTGGTATTATTTATTCTTTGTACGTATGAGGAAATGGAAGCCAAAAGACTCAAGGAGTGTCGCCTAGTTTTCAAAAATAATGAGTGGTGGGGCTCAAATCTGCAACTGACATTTGAGTTCCTGATCATAACGTCACCCTAGCTGTCTGAAAGCATGGCCAGTGTCTGATACAAGGAGGTGTTGAAAGATACACATACAAAAGTAGAAAGTAGTCTCAGGAGAGAGAAAATCTAAGATGCTTAGATCTAAAAGATTAATGAAGGCTCTTCTTTTTCCCTTGAGTGTAAATTTCAACTTAAAATTTGACTCATTATCTATCTTTTATATGTATTTCTTTTTCAGTAATTTTCACTCTGAAAATGATGCTTTTTGGGGAGTTCAGAACATCACCCATGCATTATTTATTAACTTTACTCCAATATAAACAATAATGTTTATTGTTGGCTCATTGCAAGACAATTTTCTACAGAAAAATTATTTATCTCACTGAGCTATTAACTACCTTAGGACTCATTCAAACGTGTATTGTGAAAATATTAAAGTTTTAAAATACTGCATATTTGTAGAGCACATTAGAATTTTTAAAGTACAGAATCCTTTCTAAGAGGAAGAACAGTTCGTTCTAATTTTGAGGCTTTTTCATCAGTCTTTTAGATCTAAGAGTCTTAGATTTTCTCTCTCCTGAGACTTTCTACGTTTTTGTGTATTTACCAACACCTTCTTGTATCAGACACTGGCCATGCTTTTATATAGGCAGGGCCAAGTTAAAATCAGCAACTCCAAGTATCAGTTGCAAATTTTAGGTCAACCACTCATTATACTTGGAAACTAGAAAACATATTCTCTGAACATGCTCTGAGAGACTCATCTAGTAATCTAGTGTGGTAGAATCTGTCCATCAAGTTGATGTTATCTTTATGTAACATGTTACAATGCTTCATTCTGATAAACTTGTACTCCAGGTTTCAAGCCAAATGGGTATGAGTGAATAAAGACAATGATCTTCTGCCTAAATCCATCAATAACTTCTTTTCCCAGTACAGTCACAATTGTAACTGTGGAACAGCATTATGTTATTCCCTCTCTTGTATTCATAGCACAGTTGAAGTTTTGTATTTCTCTGCTATTTGTCAGTCTTGGCATAAACTTAGACTTGACCTACTTTCTGAATTAAATCTTCATTTCTTTAATTTTATAGATTAAAAAATCTCTATTGAACAATTTTTACACTGATCCTGGGTATAAAACTAAACTTATTTTCATACTGACAAATAAAAAAGGGATACAGATGTCTTTACAAGACAAAGCATTGTTTAGTTTGATGGCAAGAGAGAACCTTGTGGAACAAGCCAACATATCCTAACATGAGTCAGATTTTACTTGCTTTTTTTCTCAGTGAGTTAAACACTGCACTGGAAGAACTTGCCTTCTGTTCACAATAAGTCACTATGCTTACTCTTCTTTGTTACAGAAACTCCACTTACTGTATGAAAGTATCTATCTCACTGACAGTGGGTGAAAATGACACTGGACTCTGCTACAATTCCAAGATGAAGTACTTTGAAAAAGCTGAACTTAGCAAAAGCAAGGAAATTTCATGCCGGGACATAGAGGATTTTTTACTACCAACCAGAGAACCAGAAATCCTTTGGTATAAGGTATGGGTTGGGGTTATTTTATTGCTTATAAATAGTTTAATGTGTAAAACAGAGTATGGGGGTGTACACCTGTACCCCTGGCACTTGAGAGGCTTAGGCAGGAGAATAGTTACAAGTTTGAGACCAGTCTGGGCTACAAAGTGAGTTCACGGCCAACTTAAACTGCATTACAGTACCCTGTCTCCCCAAAAAATAGCTTAATGTGTATCAAATTCTAGAGCAATTAGACAAAACATTGAATGTATGTAATATAGTTCAGCTCTGTCTTTCAAGAATGTTATGCCTAATTGTGCTTGTCATTAAATATTTTCAAATAAAAACAAAATATCAGTTAATGGACCATTCTATTATTGTATCGGTTGGTAATTTAAGGAATTAAAATGCATTGAACATTCATTTTGGTATTTGTCATGTTAGTGTTCGAAAATGCACCCACATAATGAGAGAAAAGGATTGGTTTTCTACTATGATAAAATGATACACTGGGTATAATTAAATGTTTTATTTTGTAGACATACCTGTCTATATTGTAAACTTTCACACACACACACACACACACACACACACACACACACACACACTTTTAAATAAAAAATTTCTGTTAAGACGTTGTCACATTATAAAGATGCCATTTGACTTATTTCTTCAAAAAAATGAATCTTTAAAGACAACAATCCTACCCTTTTCTCCATTGTATCATTGATGCTCCACTAGTGATTATACTGTAAAGCATATTTACATCATATAGGAAGGATTTTGTCTTTGAAAGTGTTCTAAAAATAGAATATAAATATCGTGAACATTTCTCTGGAGATTTTATCCATTGGCTAAATAATTCCAGTGTCCAAATTGCTTTTTCTAACTTGCTTGAAGTAGGACTTTGGGCAAATGGGTTTCTTAGTAACCAAGTGCCCAGACCTCACTTTCAGTAAATTCTCAGAGGTGATTGCAAGTGAATGCAAAAATTTAAAAATAATACAAGAAAAAGCCTTGAACAATTTTGAAAGGGTGCTTTCAAAATTGTCCATGGTTTTATCTGAGCAGGATTTAATTTTGTTTCTTAGTATGAAACAATACAAAGTTCAGAACATCAGCAAAATGTAAAGTATTTTTTGATTTGTCCCTGGGTTTTCCATCCTGGATGATACTAAAACAGCGTACAAATGTTAGCATTACTAGTTTGTTTTCCCACAAGAATCTACTTTATTTTTTCCTTTTTTGTAACTGAATATTTCTCATCCTTATATTCTGTAGTTTGCCTATCTTAAACACTCCAATTCTGAGCACGAATTAGTGATTGATTCAAAGAAGAGTGCTATTAGAAAAATTGGACCCAGGGTCTCCAAAAACAAATAGTTCTCTCATTATTTACATATCAATGTTTAGCTCTTAGGTATAAAATTTCTTTGTTGTTCACTAAACAGTTGATTCTGAAAGTCATGTATCATATCAAACCTCTTGTAAAGAGCATCTGAAAATTTACTGAAAGTTGAGAGATTCCCTCACCCTCCCAACCAGTCTAAAAAGTGGCTGTCTTCACATTAGTCCTTCAGGTCTGTTTTCACCATCACTGCAATCCTTTCGACCTTCAGCTATAAAGATCACCACTCATGGAGTGGTATGTGGACATATGGTACACGTGGAACTTAAAATTCTTATGGAATTTCAGACAACTTTCCTTAGCCAAGACTAAATCTCTGTAGTTAAAATAGCTAGGATTCAAAGGCTAATTTTAAAGGAGAATACTGCAAAATTTTTTGCCTAAATATAGACTCTATATATCCAGTGTACAATTTATAATGTTACGTTGGCTTAAGCAACTGATATGAGAAAATAAAAGGTGCATTTTTGTCTGCAATAACTGGATTATTGCCCCTTTAATTACACAAAGGCATTGAACCACATAAAATCATGGTCTGTAAAATTTTGATTTGGCGATAAAATGTTTTAGAAATAATATTATCTCTCCATAGTGTCAAAGCTTTTAGACCTATTTTATCTTCATTCCATTGATTTCGAATCTGGCTGGAGGCTATGTGTTTCTGTTTTGGCAAAAACATAAACATCCTGGGCCAATGTCAAAATCCAAAGCTTAATTCAGAGGCCATAATTTGGTAGGAGTATCAACAATGAAAATAGATATTTATGGGGCCATATGTGTGTTGCACACAAATGTTCGCTATTTCTTTCACAAATTATAGAATATACATGCTAGGAAGATATAAATTTTACTAACTGTAGCATTATATTTCTAATATTGAAAGGGAAGCATTTTGCAGAACTAATTTTCTGCATTCCATTGAACATTATTATTATTATTAGCATGGTTAACCTCACAAAAATCAAATGTAAAACATTTGCTTTTAAGAACAATATTACTAGTGATCAAAATATAACTTCATGTTTCTAATAAGTTCATACGTATCTGATATAAAGATAGCAATTGCGGAATTTAAGAGTGGGAATTTCTCTAAAGACACTGTTTCCTAATTTAGAAACCTAATTTCACAGAGATTTGAAACTTGAAGAAATTACTTCACATTAATTCCAAATTCTTTAGTGTCTTTCAAATATCGCAGCAGAATTATTCTTAATTTATAAACGTTTATTTTCAGTTATTCTATGTGATACCCAAATTTTATATTCCTCTTGTAGGAATGTAGGACAAAAACATGGAGGCCGAGTATTGTATTCAAAAGAGACACCTTGCTTATAAGAGAAGTCAGAGAAGACGACATTGGAAATTATACCTGTGAATTAAAGTATGGAGGCTTTGTTGTGAGAAGAACTACGGAATTAACAGTTACAGGTAACCAAGGATTTTTAATATTCCTTTTGTAATAATGAAACTAGTATTTTGTTAGCTTCTAGGCTGTATATTGATTTTTTAAATCTATGCAGAAATAGAACCACTCATCCAAATGTTAAGTAAAATCCTATATGGGGAATTCATTCTTCATGCCTTTAAATCATCTTGTGCTGAAATGCATCTGAAAAGTAAAAGTGAATATGTTTAGGGAATTCTAGAACTGTTAGTTTTTTGAAAGGACTTAAATGACGAATTTACTGTCTCAGAAAATGATGCTTATTTTTTTAGTACACGTTTTTTGAAACATTTTCTATAGTGATGAAATAGAATACATGAAATTCAACTCTCAGTTACTGTCTTGCTCCAAAATGATACTTTTTCTCTTCTATTCATTTATTCCTCTATGAATCTGACATGTATGTTCTCATACACTTGACAATAATTTAATTTCAGGTGCAGTTATCAATTAATTAGCTAAGATGTGATGATGCCATCATTCTTATATCTGGTGGTTAAGGAGGAAAAACATTAGAAAAAGATTCAGAACACTGTGCATAATCTTGAATCTATAGCTCTCCAGTCACATGATCTTGGCAGAATCAGAATATTAATTTCCTCATGTGTAAATTGATGATGATGATGAAATTTACCTTATTTTAGGGCTTGTACAAAAGCTGAATGAGGTAAATTAATATGTACAAGATAAGTTAGCAAAACAAGGATTATATACAAGCATTTAACTTTTTTTAAAACCATTTCTCTTATGTTTCCACAAGATGAAAGGAGATATACTAAGACAACATTAGGAAGTTTAAAAATGTTATTCACATATCCTTATTAAGTGAGATTTTTGAAGTTACTTTTAAATGTTCAGGTTATATCTGTTATCTTAAAACTGCATTGGTTTCCCAGAATTCTTATGATGGATGTAATGTTTCTGGTAGGAGGAAATTATTTAAATATTAAGGTGCACGTCAGGAATGTCTTTGATAAATATTAGACACGATTTGCAACTGATGCTTGCAATATGTGATAGACTTGAACAATAAATATTACGCAGTCTCCGATATGTATTTTGTACTTATTGGAAGCATATTTAATTTGCAGTCATTTGCTTTTCAGTTTCACCGTGTATAACAGATCCTTGTTTAGAAAATTGGAATCAACCTTTTCTCACTTTGCCTCCCAATATTACAGTGGGACAGTTAAAAATATGTCTATAAAACAATATTGTCTACTTTTTTTTGCTCTCAGTGTATGCTGTCATAGTTTTTCCAAGCAGTATATATTGAGAAAAATGAATTTTAAAATATAATTTACAAAGATACTTTCTGAATAGAAATAATATGCATTTGTAAATTTTATTCTTCAGGGTGTAGAATTTGTCCTTGATAATTACATCTTTCCACTTTCTAGGGATACTAGGATTGTAAACCACTATTATATAAAGCAATCTGAGATAGGCCACTGAGTCCAAATGGTAAAATAACTTGTGTATGTCTTTTTCATAGATCCAAGAGTAGAACCATTTTCTCCTAAATGCCTTTTTGGTCTACTCTATTTTCCTAAAATTTATTTATCTAAAATATTTTTCATTGTGTGAAACTGAAGAATATTTAAAGCTTAATATTCAAGAAGTAGTTAGTGAAAGTTTAATGAAAGCTTTCTTTCAACTTTTTAAGAATAATTTTATCCTAAGTAGCCTTACTGGTGACAATGTTCTAAGCAAATAAATTGCAACATAAAATTGCAAATGCGGGAAATGTTTAGTGAGTGGAGAACTACATGCCCTACAATTAAATGTATGAGCTAATAAATGCATTTTAACTATTATCAAAAAATCTATTGAGAAGAAAAACATGTGTATAACATTAGTTTAATCGGCATGATGATACAGCACGATTACTTTTACTGTAGTGAATTTACTCAACCATGCTTTTTTCTGTATTTTTATTAGAACATATGTCATACATATTTGCATTCTTTGTTTATATTTGGCATATGTACATAATACATCTTATTTATTTTTTCATCTCCTGTCTCTTTATCTTTCCTCCATGCATCTCATGATCCCCTTTCCTTTTCAAAAAGATCTATCTCCTTACTTCCTATAATCTTTTATTTTGCTCTTTATTTATACATCGGGTTTCTCAAATAAGAGAAACCATGCAATTTTTAAAGTTGAAATTATATCCTTTAGTCAGTTAACAAAGGTGGGCTCTTCCTGTGTGACAGCGTATCACTCTTTCATATATTTATCACATCACTGCCATGTTGCATTTGGGTTGAATGTTATGCAACAGCATTTAGTTTTGATGAACTGCCCATAGCTAATAATAAACAAGTTTCATGAATATGGAAACATGTATTGGTATTTCTTTATTTTCATTGCTTTCAGTATCTCCTCCATTTTTATTGTTTGGGTCCTTCTTCACAAAAAGTTCACTCTGATGATTATTGTAATACATGGTGTATGTTTTTTGTCTCTGTCCTTTCAAGATTTTCTTGTTTTTCCTGTAATTTGAATATAGTATGCCTCGGAGTAATGATTCTGTTATTTAGTTTATGTTTTCTGTATTTTTTACTTGGCGTTTGCCATTAATTTTAGGAATTTCATGGTCACTATTATTTCAAATATTTCTTCTATTTCATATTTTACTTAATACACTTCTATTATTCCAATTTTACATTATACTTTTGAAAAGCAATGGTTGTGTTTCATTTTCATCATTCCTGTTTCAAGTAAGTGACTCCAGCTCTGGCCTTCTGAATTTGCCTGCTCATCAAATTTTAGCATAGTGGTTTGCCTTGAATCCTCAGTGATCAAGAGAAATTTGAATTTTCAGTTTTTTCGAGCTTGGTTTTCTGTAGCAATGGAGTGATACTTTCCATGCAATTTACATATAGTAGCTAAAATTGAAGGTGATATTAGCATTTTCATTTTGCAATTGCAAATTCAGTAAAAATCTGGCATAATATAGAATCTATAGTAGTGGTCATTCTATAGATGTGTAATCTTAATTTAGTACGAGCAGTGCACTCTAATTTGAATCAGTTATTTTAAATTGTGTTTGAAACTGACAAAGTGATACTATTAATACCTGTAAAATATGGAAAATAGTAGAGGAATAACTCCTGCTGCCCTGAATTCACATTCTATTTTCATTGATAAATTAGCCTTTACGTTTCCTGCATTATGTTGCTCATTCATATTGAGGTTTAAGCAAAAATACCTCAACTTCCTTTTATAAATTGTTAAATGAAATATGTACATGTATTTCAACATTTGTATACAAATAGAATTACATTTTTCTCTTAAGATGCTTAAAGTTAAGTTTTAAGGTATAATTCAAATCTGTTAACATATGTTTTATACTTGATTCTGTATTTCACTCTATTTGCTTCCCTGGCTTGACAAAAGCCAATAGAATTTTATTGGAAGATATTTCCATTTTTACTGAAGTTGTTGTTTATAATGTGATACAAAGACCATATAGCAAGATATATAACATGCTATTGTGTGTGATTTTTTTTCCTTTTTTTCTGGACTATATCATTCACTTCTTATGCACAGTTTTTAAAATATACTATGAAATCCAGAATCCAGTCTGTTCCCTGGCTTATTTTAGTATCGTACTGAAATACAACGAAGTCTATAAAATATAAACATGTAACAACTTATATTTTCAAAGGAATCCCATCTAGATGAAATAGAACTGAATAGGTACCACAGAACCACACTACATTTACTTCTGATTATCAATCTCTTTCTTCCCTCTATTGTTTATGTGCATAAATAATGATTATAGTGTTCTTTTACTTTTTTAAAGCATGCATGCATAAGTCATATGAGCAAATTTTAACCTTTTTGACATTTATAAAGTTGCTTTCACATGTGTATTCAATTTTTCCTGGTTTCTTCATCTTTAAATTACGTTTTTAATATTCATCTACTGAATTCCACATTTCTGCGATGGGCTTTGCACCAGTGATACACTATTTCCATATGTGAAAATCTGTTTATTAGATTTTTTTTTTATTTTTTGCTAGCTTAAGTAACATCTCTATGAATCATTATACATAAATAAAAATATGCACACAGTCATACGTATAAACATACATGTATATTCCCTTAAACATGGAGCAATCTTTTTTATAGGACTGTTAAGTACCAGTAGATTTGCTTTGGTGGAGAATGAACATTTTCAAATTCAGTAGCTATTATTTAGGTTCATTTAGATCAAGGGCCTACTCTGACCAAATGGACTGAGAAGAGGAGAGCTCTGGTACTTTAAAGAAGATTAGAGCTTCCAATTTGTTTTGCACTGTACAATGATTTCTGTATTTTAATATTATTCAATAATAATGTGTAAATATTCAAGTTTCTATTAATATAAATTTTCATATCTTAAGGTGCCTTTTACTAAACTCTAACTCATAGTTAAACTACGACTTCAATCCTAGCCTTCTGCCAGATTATTTGTGAGAACATGACATGTTCAGATATGGTCATAAGAGATCTAGTATTTCCAAAGTAAATTAGAATACTCTGGCTTTTGCTAAATTTTGATCTATGTAGACAAAAGTGTAGAAAATAGTAGCTTTATCTATGCTCAGATTTGTTGCATCTAAGAATAAGAATTATGCACCCTATAGATTTTTAAAAACTTGATAAATTGCATGATATTCACTTTTGTCTCATTAATTGATTTTTTCCTCTTGGCAAAAATGTTTTCCTATGATTTTAAAAAGGAATATTCAAAATGAAGTAAGAACAATACTGCTTTCATAAAGTCTGAAAAGCAGGCAGAACAGTTGCAGTAATTTAATTTCTAAGGCTAGATTAGAGAATGAAGTAATGATTTTACAAGAATACATTATATCTTTCATCAGAAAAAAACAATTCACATGTAAAAGGGAGATTCAGCAAGATTAGTGAGGAACTGAAGAAAGGAAAGATAAATTGAAAAAAAACAAAAAGAATGATGTGATTGCTATAA